GACTTTTACTAGACAGACTAGACACATTGACATATAGACAAACGTACTTTTTCAGATACTGGGGGTGCTGCAAATGTAGGAGTCAGCGCGGCACCCATGACTGCGTTAGCTCGATACGCAAGGAGGGCGGGATGACTCCATCTCACAGGGCAGACCTCTACCTTTGTCTAATCCGTTTTGCATACTCCTCCTATCCATATATTTCCCTTCTTCCCCCGCTTTCTTACTTTTGCCTAAACCCAGGCAATAAAATTTAGTTAATGGTGGGGTAGGGAGGTGTAGTGGAAAGAGCAGCAGCAACTAAAAACTAAAGCTAAACGAATGTTGCGTTCGATGGTAGACGTTCCCTGGTTTGTTACCAATGAAGCTATTCACAAGGACCTCGGTATTCGTGCGCACTCGTGTTTTTACTTCACTTCAATTTCAATTTTGGTTCCTTGTTGCTTGGCCCTTACTTTCCTTGATTTTATAAGGACCCCACGTTGGACGGCAGTTGTAACGTACCCGGTTCTCCGGCTTATAGCTGGGCTATCTTTCAGCCGGGTTATGGGTCTCTCCCATAATTTTGATTTCCAGAAGTGCAAGCAATGGATAACACGAATAGTTCTACGTTACACAAGAAGCTTTATTTTTAAATGTTCTACTGGCCACGTTTACACGTCAGCCCTTTGTCTTAAACCGTATCGTACTGGCAGCGGTTCACGTCAGCTGTATATTTATATCATGTACATATGTGTAGATGTATATTTAGATATGTAGGTATATATATATATATATATAATTATTGCTATGCGTTGCGTATATATGTATTTCATGTTTCCATAGAAAAATTTTGTAAGCGTTCAGTAAGACGCGTCAAGCACGAAAAATAAACCTTAAAGGTGTTGGATTGCTTCGCCGACCTAAGCCAGGATTTGAATCCAGTCCTTCTGAATGGCAGTACAGAATGCTAACCACTCGGCTATTTCGACCGCCAGAGAAGCGAGAAACTATTAGTTTCGGAAAACTGGTGACCAACCGATACCTGACCTAAGGAATTCTAATGACGGCAATATTTCCAGGCGCTTCTTTCAAAATCCCGAGATGTCAGCAGCAATTACTTATTTCGAAGTAGATTTCATTGAAACGATGCGTACAATACTTGCAGTTGTTTCTACTTCTTCTTCTTCTTCTTTATTGGCGTTGGCACCGCTTACGCGATTATAGCAGAATTAATTATATTTCGCCATTCATCCCTTTTTGCGTTGTTTGGTGCCATTTGGAAATACAAAGTGAGGCTAGGTCACTCTCCACCTGATACTTCCAAAGGAGTGAAGGTCTTTCTCTTCTTCTGCTTCTACCAGCGGGTACTGCATCGAATATTTTCAATAATAAAAACGTCTGATGAGTCGCCGTTGAGAGTTTTCGAATGAGAGGTTGTGCGTAAGATGTATGGTCTTTTACGAGTTGGGAACCGCAAATCATGAGCGGTATGAGATATTACGTGACAACTACAAAGTTCAGCGAATCACGAGACAGCGGCTGCGCTGGCAAGGTTGTTGTTGTTGTTGTAGAGGTTCACTAACACCGCTTAAGCACAGGTTTCATCAGTCTAAGGCTAATGGTAGGTCCAGGAAACGGAGTTGGACTAAAGGGAGAGTGGGGTTAGATTAATTGGTTTGAGAGGGCATGTGAAGAGTTGGTTAGTGTTGTGCGGAGACTCTCCACATTCAGGGCATACGTTGGGTATGCTGGGGTCTAGTCTGGATGAGTAAGAGTTTAACCTGCTTCAATATCCAGACCTAAGTTGTGTCAGAGTCACACGGGTCTCTCGAGGCAGCTCGAGCTCGTTGTCTGCTATAGGTGGTGGTTTTTCTACGAGAACGCCATTTACTGGAAGGGAGTCCTTGAAGGTGTTGACTGACTCCTGGTGAATAGCGTTCAGTGCTTGTCGGTACACCGTCCTGTCCAGCGGTTGCTGTACATGTTGCTGGATTGTGTCTTTTAGGTCTAGTACTCCCTTTATGATGTGCCTAGGAGGAGGTTCAGCATCTATTAAGTGCCTAGTTCCCTGCGGTAGCATCCCAATAGGAACTGCGCAGCAAAATAGTATGATCCCTAACTCGAAGCATAGATGCTTCCCTGTGCAAGTGATGCTCCAGCGACATCAGGAGGATTCCTGTCGCGGTCCTGAGGGCGGTGTTCTGGCAATCCTGTAGCTTCTTCAGCTGCATCTCGTTCGTCCCGTCGCGGCAATTGGGGTCGTATGCGGAGTGAAGGAGTGCAGGCTGTCTAGGGCTACTCCCAATATTTTTGGGTTATTTACCGTCGGACTTTTTGTGTCATCGAACTTCACATCTGGTTCAAGCCTGTACTCCTTCGTCCAGCTGATGAAGAGGGTAGACGAAGATTTTGTCGGTTGAATTAATAGCTGTCTTGCATTGAAGAAGTGGGAGAGATCAGCGAGGTAGCCGTTCACTTTCGAACAGAGGTCATCAATATCTTGGCCAGACGCCATTATCTTTCAATCATCGGCATAAGGCGGGTTACACGTCATTTCGCTTTGTCTACCGAGGGATACACCGAATGAAATTTCCACCCGGTTATCCCTCCTCGTCGGGTTAGACAGCGACTTGAATGTAGCCCAGAGCTTGTTTGCCCCAGAGGAGGGGTTGCAGGTCTTTATGTGCTCCTCCCACTTTTTCCGCTTGTGATTGTTGACTACTTTTCGAATCTCTGCGATTCTAATATCGCCGCTTCTGTCAGAAAATTTGGGCGGATTTCCGCGATTCGGCCTGCCGGGATGAAGCGGACGGCAGCGATCGCGACGACCCTGCAGAATAAACGTTCACCACGTTAACAAATGTCCGGTGGGCCTGTCAATCGAGATTTGTATTTGCAGGTGACCCAATGCTAACGTCAGTATAGGTCGCCAGACTATACTATTTATCAGATTAGCACTCGTAATTGTAATGTCTGGCGAGCTTTGGCAATTACCCATAGCTCTGGTGGGGGTGTTATCGTTCATTGTGCAGAATGTCGAATCGTCTATCTGTTCTGCCAGCTCCATTCCTCTACGATCATTTGACAGGCTAGAATGCCAAAGATCGTGATGCCCGTTAAAGTCGCCCAAAACCAAACGGTTTTCGCCCTTGAGTAGCGCACCTATATCAGGGGTGTATCCTGCTGGACAACTCGTAACTGGAGGAATGTATATATTGAATATTTCGAGCTCGACATCGCCTGACCGGATAGCTATGCCCTGACATTCTAAGGTAGTATCCCTGCGGCGCACGGTGTTGTGCAGGATGAACGCTAAACCCCCACCGTGGTATCGCTCGCGATCCTTGCGGATTATGTTGTATCCGGCCCGGCTCAGAGAATCTGATCGGTCAGTTAACTTAGTTTCCTGGATCGCAGCAATTGACAGGTGTTCCCGGCTCATGTAGTCGATTATCTCGTCAATCTTTCCCTGGAGTCCGTTGCAGTTAAATTGTAAGAGTCGGGTCTGTCTCAGGGGAACGTTCGTGATACGGGGGGTGAGGGAGTGATGCGTGGATGGTGTGTGTTGCTGCTGTACTACCCGCGAGAGATGGTTCCGCACGTTGGTGTTAGTTGGCGGAGGGTTTGTCGAAACATGCGGGGGCAGACTCCTACTGCACGGGGAGCTGCTGGGGAGCCCTCGCACGGGGGAGTATGAGGAGCTGGTTGTGGGTAGGGATAGGGGTTGAAGTTGGAAGGAATCATCCTGCGGGGAGCTCCGAGGGGGCGGTTGGACACTGGCAGCATGGGACCACATAACTCGTGGTCCATTCCACCATTGCACTGGTTGCATCTAACCGAGGTGGAAGAATGGTGGAGTCTTCTATGACAAAGGCAGCAGAGGTAATCCGTCGGTCCAAGGTTGGTTTCTACACCAGCCCTGATCAGAAGGATTTGGAGCAACCCAGCAGCAAGGTGTTGCTCCATTGGCGAACTTAGACAAAAGTTACCTGTAGACCTAAACGGGGTTAAGTCGCCGAAAGGGTGACAGCCCTTGTCCGGATAAAATCCGGGTTAACTCCGGTGCGTAGAAGCGGCTGTCGTGAAAGTCATTTGGTCCGGATGAATAAGATTACCCCAACTGTGAAAGTTTTCTATGCAATACCCGCCAGTGGAAGCAGACGAAGAGGAAGAGCTCCAGTCCGCTGGAAAGGCCAGGCAAAGAAGAACCTGGCTCTACGTGTTACAGCCAATCAGCAAAAAAAGGAATAAGCTGCGCACTGTTATAAATTCGATTATAATCGCGGAAGCAATGGCTACTCCATTTGAGAAGAAGTAGTTGAAGGCGTAATCCGTGCGTTGCAAGCCGGGAACGGTCTAAAGGGCGTTTTGCGGAAAGATTTGTGAAACTTGTGGAATTGGAGGAATCGGAATTTTCTTTAAATTGGCTTACAATTGCGAAAGGCCAGCTTAATCAATTTATTAAAATCCACATATGACCTTACCGGAAAAGAAAAGCAACTTGTATTTATTTATCGCTATTTTATTTCTCGGGACATCCCAGTCCCTTTAAGTGAAACGTTGTCGTGAGAAAATTTTAGTAAGACTTTCTCTTGTTTGAAAGAAGTTTCTCTTTAGCAAAGTTTGAACAAACTGGTATTACTACTTCGGATTCAGGATTGGTTTTAGTTAGCTCTTTAATCACCTGCGCTTGTGGAATATAAAACTAATTTTAGTGGCAAATGCTCGTTCACTGAAAAAAAAAAACTTTCACAACAATCGACAGCTACGATTAGCCGTAATGTTTTATCCTCTATTGGAACTTTTTGGAAAAAATGACGCAGCAAATGCAGAACCAGTTGGTATTTTTTCCTTGCGAGAAAGCACATGATTTTTTTTTTACGATTCTGCTATGGCATAAATAACACAATATGTAGTTTTTATATTTATGCAGTGGTTCTACCGTATAAATATTGAAATTTAAAATGCATTTTACAAGTTAATTATAAGTAATATATATAATATTAAATGCAATTGAATCATAACAACATTTACACAGATGTAAGCAGCTTCACTAATAAAACAGTTTTAAGAAACTTTATAAACTTATCAAGATAAGCGGCAAGCTTGTTGTTGTTGCATGTAGGGTCATACTAGGTGTTAGACTAGGCGTCATACCTGAAAAGAGTGTCATTGTAGGTGTTCCGTCCTAACTATGATTGCCTGGTGTTTTCTAAAAAAATAATAATAATAACAAATTAATGTTCACAGCAAATCATTAAATGCGTTCTTACATCTTCCCAAGAGGGTGTTCTGTGTTTGGTGTTGCAGATACTTTCGCAGGTACAAAGCTTTCGCTTATTGATTTTTGCGTGTAGTAATCTATTTAGGTACTTCTCCATTTGATGATTTGACCAATGTACCGAGTTTATATTTTTCTTGTATTTCCCTACGTAACTGAATAAATGAAAAGTTTCAAGTTATTTTTAAATTTTTGATTGAATATACAATACATACAATACATACCTCTTTCTTCTCCTTTGAGTATCGGGAATTTTTCAACTAACAAAAAATTTCTACGAATTGAAATATGAAATTCAATCAAATTTTTCAAGTTTTGCTTACCATCAGTAAATGGATCTGCACACATAGATAAAATAAAGTCTGCACGCTCTAGAAATAGAATAATGCGTCCTCTTTTCTGTCGATATTTATTCGCTTGCTTTATTTTGAGAATCACTATAGTAATAGTGATGTAACTTTTTGCTTAGATGGGCATAAAAAAGGAGTACTTCAGAAGAAATCGAATGTGTACTTAACAGTTGTCGACAATAAATAGCAAATTTGTGATTCATTTCAAGTAAAGATGTTCAAAATGGAATTGTTTTTAAAAACCATGAATGAATCATAAGAAAAATTTTTTTTTTTGATTCATGACCATGTAATTAAAGCGAAATGAAATATTTAACACTGGAACTGAACAGAGTAATTGCTCAACTCTCACGACAACCGATTCTACACACCGGAGTTGACCCGGATTTTATCCGGCCAAGGGCTGTCACCCTTTCGGCGACCTTACCCCGTTTAGGTCTACAGGTAACCTTAGTCTAAGTTCGTCAACGGAGCAACACATCGCAAATGGGTTGCTCCAAATCCTTCTGATCAGGGCTGGTGTAGAAACCAACCCTGGACCGACGGATTACTTCTGCTGCGTGTGTCAAGGAAGACTCCACCACTCATCCACCTTGGTTAGATGCACTCAGTGCAATGGTTGGAGTCATCTTAAGACCTGCTCAGGCCTTAAGACCCACAGGGAATGGACCACGAGTTATGTGGCCCCATGCTGCCAGCGTTCAACCGCCCCCCAGCCTCCTCGGCAGTGCCTTCACCACACATACCCACTCTGGGTAATCTGCAGACCTCCACGGTCTTACGGAGCTCCCCGCAGCATGATTCCCTCCAACACCAGCGCGGTGCTTGATTTCTCCAGGGAGGAGGTTCAGGGGGTCATCGGGAAGGCGAAAGCCTCCAAATCCATCGGCCCCAACGGAATAAGTTTGCTGATGCTGAAACATCTTGGACCAGCGGGAGCAGAATTTCTCACGAGGATCCTCAACTTGTCTTTGACCACCCTGAAGATACCCGACGTGTGGAAAATGGGTAGGGTGGTCGCGCTACTAAAACCGGGGAAACCAGCCAACAAAGGAGAGTCCTATCGGCCGATAACTCTCCTCTCCCCAGTAGCGAAGACACTTGAGGCCTTACTGCTCCCGACCTTCACTCACCATCTGCGTCCAGCAGCGCATCAGCATGGCTTCCGAAAAGTGCACAGCACCACAACAGCACTTAACGCCATAAACACCCAGATAGTCCATGGCCTCAACCAAAACCGACCCTGCGCTCGAACTGTCCTAGTAGCACTCATTACCGCCGGGGTTGCAGAGGTGGGTCATGGGCTACCTGAGTGGTCGACAATCATCGGTAATATTCCGAGGTAAAACATCTAAACCCAGAAAAATTAAACAGGGGGTTCCGCAGGGTGGTGTCCTCTCCCCGCTACTGTTTAACTTTTATATATCGAAACTCCCTCCACCACCAGAAGGAGTTTCCCTAACCTCGTATGCCGATGACTGTACGATAATGGCGTCCGGCCAGGATATTGATGACCTCTGCTCGAAAGTGAACGGCTACCTCGCTGATCTCTCCCACTTCTTCACTGCAAGACAATTACGAATCCAACCGACAAAATCCTCGGCTACCGTTTTCAACAGCTGGACGAAGGAATACAGGCTTGAACTGGATGTAAAGGTCGATGACGAAAAAATATTGGGAGTAACTCTAGACGGCCTGCACTCCTTCAATTGCCGCAATTGCCGCAAAACTCCAGAGCCGCAACAAAATACTCAAAGCGCTAGCCGACAGCACCTGGTGTAAAGATAAAGAAACTTGGCTGGCTACTTACAAAGCAATTGGCCGGCCGGTCGTAAACTATGCTGCACCGATCTGAACGCCGGGGACGAACGAGACGCAGATGAAGAAGCTACAGGCTTGCCAAAACACCGCCCTCAGGACTGCGACAGGAAACCTCCAGATGTCGCCGGAGCATCACTTGCACAGGGAAGTATCTATGCTACGAGTTAAGGAGCATAATGCTTTGCTGTGCAAGCAGTTCCTACTGGGATGCTACCGCAGGGAGCACCCCAGTAGGCACATAAAGAGGCTGAACCTCCACCTAGGCACTTCAGAAAGGGAGTACTAGACTTTAAGGACACGATCCAGCAACACACACAACAACCGCTGGACAGGACGGCATTGAACGGCACTGAACGCCAGAAATACCACCACCCATAGCAGACAACGAGCTCGAGCTGCCTCGAGAGACCCGCGTGACCCTGACACAACTCAGGTCTGGATATTGTAGCAGGTTAAACTCCTACCTATCCAGACTAGACCCCAGCATACTTAAAGTATGCCCGGCATGTGGAGAGTCCCCGCACGACACTAACCACCTCTTCACATGCCCCTCAAACCTACTCATCTAACCCCCCTCTCCCTTTGGTCCAACCCCGTCGAAACAGCTCGTTTCCTGGGCCTACCGTTTGATGACCTCGGTGACTTAGACTGATTAAGCCTGCTTAAGCGGGGTTAGCGAACAGCTACAACAACAACAACAACAACAACAGAGAAATTGCTATCCATAAGATTTTTGTTATTATTTTGCTACATATGCCTCGCCGACTTCCGAAATCTTTCGAGCTCGATCATTGAATTGTTAAATTTAAGTCTCAAGATTTGTGTTTTAACTTTTATTCTCTTTCCTTTTTCAAATAAACAATCACTGTGGCGAAGGAATGAAATTGCGGGAAAAGAAAATAAGCTGATAAACATGGTGCGTTTTATAATTTGCTGGCATTATATTTTTAATTATACGCAACTGAAAGGTATATTCGATATTTGTAGGGCGAAACCTTAACAGAAATACAATTCCATTACCACATTTTAATTTTCAACACAGAAAATTCGTACTGATAATCACTTTAATAAGCGACCGCACGAGGAAATTCATACGATACCGACTACAATGTGGTAGCACAAAATACTAGCATGGTACTGCCACCTGCGAAATACTTGACAATTTTGTCATAATGGCAATATTGCATCCCAGACATGAGTGGGAACTCATTCAATATATTAGGTGAACATATTGTTACGATTTGACTACATCAACCTCGATGATTTTCTGAATCCTCGGGTACGATCTCTGGATTGTTAAATAAAAACTCGCCAACTTAATTTGCAGTTTATTTCGATATAAAGAATTAATCTAATGCTCTTCATTTTCTCGGTAATTCACAATTCAATTATAATGCACTTTAGTATTTACAATCACTTGCATCAACTTTCACAATTTACTTTACTTAAATGTAATCTCCAACGCGTTTACTTTACGACTGTACTGATGTTAACGCCAACCAGTTCACTTTGTAACTATCTTAACTTGGCGGCTGAGTGTCCCCTTATATAGCAATCGGCTCCTCGCAGACGAAACCGTAGAAGCATCGAGTTGTTCGCTATCGAAGGTTCTTGTTTTATCGTTTCTAGAATGCACTAGTTATCGGCTTCTCTCTTTCATCTGACATTCGCCTCACATTTTCGCAACAATATTCTTATATAGCAGTCGGCTGCTCGTAGACGAAAGTTACTCGAATTGTTCGCTATCGAAGGTTCTTGTTTTATCATTTCTAGAATGTACTAGTTATCGGCTACTCTCTTTCCTTTGACATTCACCTCGCATTTTCGCAACACTGCCCTCCACCTAAGTCTGATCGTCCCGATCAGACACATTCGCTGTTCCAAACTCANGCGAAGTTGATGGTTCATCTTCCTCTGCCTTCCGTTTTCGCGGTACCTCCTGTCTGCTTGAACTTGTTTTGCATTCGCGTGCGTAGTGACCAGGCTTCCCACATTTAAAGCATTTTCTCGCTTGAGTCTTGAAACCAGAACGATTCATCTCTTCTAGCGATTTCAGAATTCTCAATATTTCCGGTATCACATTTGGTGTTTCAACCTCCATTTTATTGACTTTGCATGATGGTCTGCTAATGAGTGCCGCCGTTTTACGTGTTTGTGCATACGCAACAGTTTCAGCGAATGTCAACTTTGGATTCGCATATGTCTCTCGCTTGGTGTACACGTCTTTTATTCCGCTGATGAACCTTTGTATCTTCACCCTTTCAAGATGCTCTCTCGATATGTATCCAATGGCTAAATGAGCCAATCTCTCAACTTCCGAAGAATATTCCTGTAGAGATTCGTTGGATTTTTGGTCCCGCTTTTCTAACTCCATCTGGTAAATCTGTCTTCTGTGTTCGCTTTCATAGCGTCTTTCCAGGGCTTGCATCAATCCGTCATAATCATTTATCTCTTTTACGGATATGGTTTGCAAAAATTTGGCTGCAGGTCCTTCCAACGCAACGAATAGTGCAGCGGATTTTTCGTCTATGCTCCAGTTGTTTGTTTCAGCTGTCTTCTCAAATCGGAGCTTAAAAACTTGTGATTTTCCCGTTAATAAATGGTGTTTTTACCTTCGGAGCATTCACTGAAGCGGTTGGACGATTTAGCTGCAATTCCCGGACACGACGTTTCAATGCGTTGACTTCGGTCTAATTAGATCTTGCCTTTCCTTAAGTTCCGCATTGTTCCTCACCAGATTTTGCTGTATTTGCACTATTGTTCCTTCTCTCTGTTCATCCTCGCGATGGAACTCGTACTGTTTCAAGTCGATGCCTTCAACGTCCATTGCTTCTCGCAGTCGCGGTTGTAGCTCTGCTTTATTTGCAGTTGTCGACAATCCTCGCTTTGCCAACTCCCTCTTGAGAGGAGGTATCGTCAAATCATGCATCTTTACCATTTTATAAATATTATCCTTTGGGATTTATTTAGCAATCCCACTTCTGACACCAATTGTTAAGATTTTACTAAATCAACCTCGATGATTTTCTGAATCCTTCGGGTACGATCTCTGGATTGTTAAATAAAAACGCGCCAACTTAATTTGCAGTTACTTTCGTTATAAAGAATTTATCTAATGTCCTTTATTAACTAAGTAATTCACCATTCAATTACAATGCATTTTACTATTTAAATCACTAGCATCAACTTTTACAATTTACTCTACTTAAATGTATTTCCCAACGTGTTTACTTCACGACTTCACCGATGTTAA